CAGGTGGATTATTAAACATCTGCAATGGTTCTGCATGTGAAATTCCACTCCCATCAGTATCAACTGGACAGATCTGTTCTGCATTGTTAAAACAAGTCACTCTGCATGCGTAGTGCAAGTTACACCTGCATATGTCACCAAGACGATTCTGGCCAATGTAAGTTACCTTTGATATATATTTCAAAGCCTTTGTTTCTTGAGGAAACAGGAATGTTAGGGCCATCATTGCCATTAGGTAGTAACAGATGCTGTGGGAAGCAGTGGTGGCAGCCTCCTAACTGTTCCTCATGAACTCTCCAGCTATCTTCTTCTCTTTGATGAAAAAACCATGCGTGCCACAGAACTTGCCTCAAACTTGCCTGCTGTCCCAGGTGCAGTGGTGCCCCATAGTGAGTACCCATGAAACCCATAGCACTTGGATGCATGTTGTTGGCATGGCAATTCATTTTTAAATGTGCCTCCTAGAATACATCATCACTTCTTAAACCCACCCATTCCTGCCACAGATGAGGAACAATGAGCTCTGCATCCCTCTCATCTGAAATGAAATTCTTCAGCCCTCTACATACACTGCTGCTCATGCAAAAAAGATATTACCCCTGTCGGATATTGTTGCCCATGTATGTTCTACAAAATCTGGGAGCCAGCTGACCAAATAAACACAAATGTCTGGTGATACCCTGATGGGGAAAAGGAAAGTCACATCAAAGTGGCAACAGGCATACATTTGTCCTACCACTAAACAAAAAAGAAAGACAACATAGAGGAATAAGGCGTTGGTATGCCTACTAATGGCTGCAACAATCCCCCAACTCCTGTGTATGTTCTAGAACATTGGTGCAATAAACATATTACTGAGAATGATTCATGAAGAACAATCCTTTCTGAAGGGAAATGCTATGTAAAGAAGCCTTGAGGGTGGGCTCAAATATACCAAGCTCCACCTCTATGGTCCACACCTTTCCCACAGTGCTTAAGTGCTCATACTTGCTTTTGTCTCTTTACTGTCCAGTAGCAAAATGTGTCCTAGTTGGAGTCCAACATGGCAATTTGAGGGAGGAACAGTATTGACTATAACAACTTAGGCTGGTTCAGGGGAATCACCATGACTGTTGGTGTTAAGTCCCATCTGGCTCATGGGGACACCTCACTGGGCATTTTTGAGATGGTCATTTTAACCCCAAAGGCACCAAATCCCATCTGATCTTGGAAGCTAAGCAGGGTCAGCCTTCATTAGTACTTGGATGGGAGACCACCAACAAATACCAGGGGCTGTAGGCTATATTTCAGAGAAATGAAATGTCAAAACCACCTCTAATTATTCCTTGCCTAAGAAAACCCTGTGGAATTAATAAGTAGACAGGCAACTTGAAGGCAAACACACACACATACACACATTCTAACCTTACGGCCCAATGGAAAAGTGAAAAGCCAGTACTTTCATACTGCTCTTTGGAACTCATAGTGCACATTTCATTTGACTTCCATCTCAAAGCAGTCTCAAAGATTGCTGAGGAAGCCAGCTGTCTTTATGGTTTTCTGTTTGTTGTTTTATATATTTTGGCATGAGCCACTGTTGTTTTATATATTTTGGCATGGATTGTTCATGATTTTCCTGACATATTTTGTGGTGCAACTTAAGCAAAACTTCTGAAGTGGTGACCTCGTAGGTCACTGAAAAGAAAGTCAGTGTTTGTCACTTGGGAAATATGCCCAGCCTAGCTCCTTCACCTTCCTTTGCAATTTAATAAAACTGTATACAAAATCAGCATGAACATAATTAATAAAATTGAGAGTAATTAATAAAAGTGCATATAGAGTCAAGAAAAGTTCAGTTGGGACAGAGCCAGGCTATGAAGGTAGGTTTGGTGGGCATTGTCAGTAATAACTATGATGACAGAGCTCCAGCATCACAGTCATGATGATGATCCAGGATCTTGGCTCATGCTTTCCCACCCATTATTTACTGCGGTGTATCTGCTTATTTCTCCAGTCTTCAACAAAATGCCACTTAAAGACATGCAGACAATGATTCAAACATTTAAAAAACACATTTATATAGTTTTTAAAACCTCTGAAAAGCAGTCTATAAATAATACTAGAATCCAGTTTTGAAACAGTTAAAACATCCATTTCAAACATTGGATGCCATGTGGAACACTACTGTTTTGGCTACCCACCAGAAGCTTAGATGAGATGGGCCTACTAACTTCTTTGGGTAGGGAGTTCCACACTTGAGACACTTGCTACAGAGAAAGCCCTGTTCTGAGTACATACCAACCAAACTTCACAAAGTGTTGGGACATGCAACGGGGGCTCCTCTGAAGATCTCAAATTTCTAGAAGATTTATAATGGGGGGAGGTAGTTTTCTGGCCCCAGGTCATTTAATCAAGTAAATATGATCACAGAGATTTCATGTCACAAGGCTAAATGAGAGTGAAGATAATGCTTCCTGCTTTCACTCTGAAATGATGTTTGTTTAAATGATTCCAACCTCTTCTCCTTTGCTGCCACTTCCCCCTGATTTTTTAAAATAATAATAATAATAATTTTTATTTGTATACCGGCGGACCAATCCGGGCAGTGAACAGGAATAAAATACGTACAATCTAAAACAGTATAATTCCCTCCTCCCCCCTTAAAAAACAATTAAATCAGACTGAATTAAAACAGTGTCATTTAACACTGACAATATAAAAATTATAATTACAAACCAACCAGAGTTAACAAGTCAAATAAACAAACAAACCACAAACAAACAAACAAACAAACAAACAAACAAACAAACAAACAAACAAACAACCCCTGCTAAGGAATTGCCGAATGTTCATTATGAGAGATCTCAAGGTCTCAGGTCGGGCCTCTGGCCGGGTAATTTAATCTGGAAAGGCCTGCCGGAAGAGATCCATCTTGACAGCCTTTTTAAAGCTGTCCAAAGATGTCAATTGACGGATCTCATCCAGCAGGCTGTTCCAGAGCCTGGGAGCGACAACAGAAAAGGCCCTCTGGGAGGTCCCCGCAAGCCTAGATTTTTGAGGCTGCAGCAAGTTCCTCCCAGAGGACCGGAGAGCGCGGGGAGGGTTGTATACTTTCAGAGGGTTGTATAACTTTCAGCTGGGAGATGTGTTTTAATCTGTTGCCCTGATTTCATTCCATGTTCTTATCTGTTTTTAATTAATGTGGCATTTTTAATTTTGATTGTGTTTAATTCTTTTTTAAGGGGATGGGAGGGTGGGATTATGGGATGAGGGACTGATTTTTAACTTTGTTTGTTTTTAAACTTGTTGTTCCCCGCCCCGATTGCCATGCAGAGGGGCGGGTTATAAATAAACATTATTATTATTATTATTATTATTATTATTATTATTATTATTATTATTGTATGGGAGGAGGCGGTCCCTGATATAGCTTGGACCCAAGACATTTAGGACCCAAGCCATTTAGGACCCAAGCCATTTTGGACCCAAGCCTCTTAAGTGAACATATAATATTAAGGGGCTTCCAAATTCCTTCTCAGTCTCTGTTTCTTTTGAAAAGCCTTTCTTTGAGTCTTCCAAATCAACCTTTTCCAACTAACAAGATTAGTGCAGGAAAAGCAAAATGCACTTTCAATTCTCATGTGGGAGCACCATGTGAGGTAGTAGTGAATTGAAAAGTCACTGCCTAGAAGAATGCTTTCTTGCCATAAACAAAACAGATCACTCTCTGCAGTCACTCCAAAGAGTTTTCCATTGTAGGTGCTGAAAGTTAATGACAGCAACAACCAGCTTTTTTTTTTTTACAAGAATTACTTGTATAACTTGTTTGTTATACAATTTGTCAAACTGCCTTTCCAGTCAAAGAACTTTCAGCACAACTCACACCACCGAGTCAGGGCATGCACTTCAATCACTTCTCTCCTTGATTCTGTGTTAAAAATGTCACAGATTTCTGGACTATATCCCACCTCCATACATTATTTTATCTTCTTATCTTTCCTCCTGTAGTTTTGAGCAATATGTCTATCCGGATTCATGTTTCCATCTGAATAACACCTTTGTCCTGTTTCCCATCAACATTTACATGGGACCATACCTCATGAGACAGTTGGACCATGGGAAAAGGAATGATAAAATATGAAGGGAAAGAGGCATGCTGAGAAATAGCTTTTCTTTTTTCTGAAGAACCGAGCCAGAATGCCTATGCAAACTATGATGAATTCTCAGGTTGACTTATTCCACTTTAGTGAACATTTCCAGGGACCAGACACATTTCTCCCAAAGTATTACAGAATGTTATTTCAATATTAAAAAACCACAGTCTGTCTGTCTAGATACTTGCAATATAAGTCAAAACAAAATATAGCTAAATCAATTTACTAAAATGTACAGAGGACTTATTATGTGAGTTCTGAGTAATTTTCCTGAGAAGTAATGAGAGTGCTGTCCTTAAAAGAAGTAGTAGGAAAGGAAGAGATGAAACTCAGAGATGGATTGAACTACTATGAAGTTCACTCTTAAGAAA